TTAGGAGTCCCTGTAAGTTTTATAAAAATGTCTTTATCCCTCTTGTTTCTGACCCTTCTGGGTAAACAGACTGGATAAATGTGGGAGATCGTTTAAACAGAGGTGACATTCGAACTGATGGGAAAGGACACACTGATATTGTGGAGGGGAAGGGTACTAACATTGACACCTGAACAGAGGAGCTTGTAGACAGAAAGGGACACTGGTGGACTCTGACCTTCAGAACAATACATGGAAGGCTCCTCACCCTGAAAAATGCCGTTGTGAGAGTCTCTCAGATGATTGCAACTGCCTTAGGTTTTCCTGCCTGCTCTCCCCTGTCAGATGACCAGGAACATAATTTGATCTTTTATCGTAATAATTTGAACATCCACCGTGGCCTTCTTCTGAACTGTTGACAGATCCTGCCCTTTCTCACTCAGAAGCATGTTATTTCATCCAGGTGGGAATGGCTTCACCATCCTCATACTGTTGCTCAGTCATCTCACCCTACTGTACAGATGAGATGGGTTGTACTGGTAGTTCAGACAGTCTTAAACTAGGAGTGGATTCGGTTATTTGAACTGAGTAGGAAATTATTTTGTTGTTTACTAACTGACAGTCTTGTAGAAAGTGTCATCAACTTGTGTATCCCAGTTGGCATTGATGTCATTTTGTAGGAAACCAACAATTGTAAGCATCACTTCTTCAGCAGTGCTACGTGTATGAAAGCCAGGTGTTAATGTCCCTTCCTCTCAGAAACATAACTAACACACGAATGGTAATCATCAGTTTTTAAGAATTCAAAGAAATACCACTGGTAGATCAGACAACCATGGAGAGTTCTCCATATCAAAGCTACCTTTTGTTACTTGGGGAGAGCTTTCTTGAAGAATGTGAATATGCATTCCCTGCTGCCCCTACAATAAGAACCATCCAATTGTTTGTCTTTGACTTAGCTTGGGTGAGTGATACTATCTTTCCTCTGGAAGACATTGAGACATTGTGGAGATTCCCTGTGGCTTTCTAAGGTAGTCACTGAAGGCTTAGAGCATTGTTCTGCTTGCTGGGTCTAAGACCCTGGCCTTGTACTTGGATTTACTATTGCAAATTCATATCGTTCTGTTCCTAGACTTTAACACTCCGAGACAAATAGTATGAACTAATGCCAATTTCTGTCAGTTGGTCACAGTGGCTAGTGAACCTCAGTTCTCCAGAAAGCAACGCTGGTGTAGAAACTGGGTAGATATTGATGAGAGACACATGTTTAAAGTCTTGCTGTTTGTTCTGAATAGCCAGGCACTGACTCCTCTTGGTGAACATGTGTCTAAGGTGTTTGTGTGATAAGTAGCTTTGGAAGACTCCCTTTCGAGAAACAAGACAAAATACTGACCATACAGAAGTTTCCCACCACAGTGCTTGCCTGTACTGGTGTCGACTTGTGAGAACCAGGTCTGGAGCAGCTCTGATGTCTCAGATGCCCTGTGGCTCTGCCTATGCTGTGAAACACAAACTGCACTTTATGCAGAAGCCTATTGCCCTCTCTGGTGTTTGGGAAGCTGCTGGGCTAACTAATAGTTTGCCCTTAGTTATCTTAGGCCTTTCCCAGGTCTTGACATATTTAGGTTTCTTTTTATAAACCTGTAGCATATGATTGTGTTAAACTTTTTATTGATTTAACAGGTAGTCTGTCCTATAATTGGGCAGTTCAGCCAGTTACAGTTACATACTCTGCAATTATTGACAGATGTTTGCTATATAGTGTCTTCCAGGCTGGCTTTCAATGTGCTTTGTAGCCAGGGATGACCTTGAACCTACCTCCTAATCCCACTTCCCAAGTGCTGGAATTGATGACTGTGTGCTTGGCTGATGCAGTGCTGGAGTGGTCTAGTCAAGCACTCTACCACCTGAGCATCATGACTGTACAAGACCGCTGTGGCCAGTTTCTGTTTGCCTCTCTTAACTTTTCCTCCTATCTGAACCTATTTTGCATTAATAGGCAATGGTGAAGTAATTTCATTTTATGTCCAGTTGCTACTTTTTCTTTTGTTTTTAAATACTTAGTGCTTGTCCTGGGGCTTGTGACATACACCTTTATCACAGCAAGCCTTCAGATATATGAGAACCAACATCAGTGTTTCCATTTCGTACTTTCTATTCATGGTCCCCTTGTGTCTTGACTCCTACACATGTTAAATGGATCCAGATTGGCAGCTGGTGATTGTTCTTGTTTGATGTAAGAAGCTTCCTTTTATATTTCTTATGTTATTTCTTAAATGTATTAGCCATCAATCCTCTTAGCTTTTGTCTCTGATGTCTTTTCTTAGCTTTCATCTTTAAAGGATGTTTTTGCTGTGGGTGGATTCTAGGTTGACAGTTTTTCTTCTGGAACTTTAAAGGTCATCACCTCAAGGCCTGTTTGGTTTCTGATGAGAAGCCTACTGGAAATCTTATTTATTCCTCTATGGAATGTTCCTTTTTCTCTACCTGCCTCCAAAGATTTTCAGCACTTTGAGTATGTGTCTAGGTGTTTTCTGTTTGTTATTTGTTAATGGGGGCTGGGCTAACTACCTTCAGTCTTTATTTGATGTCTTTAATTAATTTTTAGAAAACCCAGCTGTGTAATTAATTTTCCAGTTATTTCTTCTTCAGGGATTCTAGTCATATACACACACAACAATTTTTTTCTTTGTGTTTTAATTTGGACTTAAATTATTTTTACTTATATGTATGTATGTGTGTGAGAGAGTGTTTGTGTCATGTGTGTGCAGGTTGCAGGTTGCATTGACTCCCCTGGAACTGGAGTTACAGGTGGTTAAGAGCTATCCTCCATGTTCTGGAGCAAGCGTGCTCAACCACTGAGCCATCTCTTCAGCCCCCAGTTTGGATGATTTTTGCTGATGTATCTTTTAAATTTACTGAGTCATCTATCAGTTTTATACTTTGTACTTAATTGTCTTTTGAAGAAGCATTTCTTCTCTGATACTTTAGAACTTTTTCAGTGTTTCCATTTGATTTGTTCACATCATTTCTATGTCTGTGGAAATGCTCTGCATGTTCCCTACCTTTTGTATTAGAGTCCTCAATGAATATTACTGATTATAATTACTTTGGGGGTCGTGTGGTCTGGTGGTCCAGTATTTGGGCTGCCTCTGCATCAGTTGCTTTGTGCAGAGCAGTGAGGTCTCTTTCTTCTTTTGTGTCTTCATTTTTAGCCTAAGACTGAGCATACTGTGTAGGATGCCAGAGATTGAGCTAAACAGTGTTTGTGCCTAGAAAAGAACTTACTTCTCTCTGGCCATTAGTGTGGGGTGTTGAGCCAGGTGATTGGGGAGTTGGCCTGGTTGGGTTTTAGTGGTTATTCTGGCTGCCTTGGCCAAAGAGTCTGTGAGATCATCAGCTCTTGTTTTTCCATCAGAAACTCAGAGATTTTTGTTTGAGTTCCAGGGACCAGTGCATTCCTGTTCTTCACAGAAGAGAAGCATTCTGGGAGACAGGCATACTTTCTGCCTACCTCATGGCTGTCTCTATAGGCACTCCTGTTTCTGCCCTGTTCCAGGCTTCCTCATGAGTACCCAGAAGAATAAGGCTTATAAGTGCATGTGGACTCATGTATTTGTCTTGTACTTAAGAACCCATGCCAGCCTGGCCTACATTGTTGCACGTGAGCCAGAGCTACATAATAAGACTCTATCTCAACAAAACAAACAATAACAGCAACCAAAATAATAATAATAATAATAATGGTAAAAATTTATGTGCTTAGTATATCAGAACCTATGATTCCTTTCATTCCCACATCAAAATAGTGAAGAAAGAATTCCTGTGAAGTTTAGCTGAATGCACGGCATCGATCTTGCTCTCTATCCCTCCTTCTCCTCCTCCCTCCTCTCTCGGTCTCTTTCTTTTTTGTTCTCTCTCTTATTATCTGATGTTCTGCCCAAAGTGAGGGAATTTGTATGGTCCATCTATCTGTGGAGGGCGATTTGTTTTTTCTTTGGATTTTGTTTGGGGTGTGTGTGTGTGTGTGTGTGTGTGTGTGTGTGTGTGTGTGTGTGTCAGAGAGACAGACAGGATTTCTCACTGGCCTAGAGGTCAATAAGTAAGTTAGGCCAGCTGTCAGTGAGCCCCAGCCCAGGGATCAAGCCACCTCTCTACCTCTCCTGTACTGGGATTATAAGTACTTGGCTTTTTAATGTGGGTTTGTTCCTAGTGAGGGTTTCTGTTACTGTGAAGAGACCATGGCTACTATTATAAAAGAAGGCACTTAATTGGGGCTTACAGTTTCAGAGATTTAGTCTGTTACGGCAGGAAGTAATGGCAGCATGCAGGCAGACATGGTGCTGGAGAAGTAGCTCAGAGTTCTACATCTGGACCTGCAGGAAGAGAGCCAACACTGGGCCTGGCTGGGGCTTTTGAAACCTCAAAACCCACCCCCAGTGACACACTTCCTCCAACAAGGCCATACCTCAAGTAGTACCTGATTACTAAGCATTCAATTATGTGAGCCTATGAGGGTCATTCTTATTCAAACCACCATAGAGTTCTAGGGATGGAACTCAAGATTTCAATGACTTAGCTATCTCCCCAGCTCTGTTTGTTATTTTGAGACCAAGTCTGGATATAGTATCTGTACCTTCTTTCAGGATGGCCTGGAACTCACAATGTAGGCCAGGATATACTCAAAACCAGATTTTCCTTCTTATGCCTCCCAAGTGCTGGGATTACAGGTGTATCACTATACACAGCTTTTTAAAGCTACAGTCTTTGACTCAAAGGAAAGACTCTTTCTTTTCTTTGGTCCTTGTAAATTCATTGTTCTTGTACTTAACAAAATGAGAAAGATAAATTATAGTGACAATACAAATTACAGGTCTGTCTTTAGAAGAGAGGTAGCAGTTGTGGGTTTTAACAAAATCATGAATGTGAAAGACACTGCTTAGTAAACCAGGAATTCCTACAGAATAATAACCATCATTTTCTGATATGTCATTTTTTTTTCTTTTTTTCCTTGTTTCCAGAAATGATCCAAACAGAGAAGTAAGCCCACAGCAGAATCGCCGCACTAGAGCCACTGAATGTGTTGAGACTGAACCAAGAAACAAGCGGAATAAGAATTAATATGGGCTTTTGCCAGCTTTTCTGTAGTACAGTGACCTGAGTATGATATTTTTATTGCCATGTGTAGTTTCATATTTAGCAATATCCAAGGAAGATTTTTAAGTCTAAATGCAATAGTTAATTTATTTCCATTCTTCTTTGCCTTCCTGAACAACAAAAACAAAAACAAACACAAGCAAAAAAAAAAAAAACAAAAAAAACACAAAAAAAACATAAAAAAAAGAAAGAAAAGTTCTGAAATGCCCCGTCTTGGTTAATGGCTTCCTTCCATTCCTCTGTGTTCTCCCCTGACGACACACTCACCAGCTTTGCACAGAGTAGACATTACTTAGCAGGAGTGTTTGCCTTGGTTTGACTTCTCTATTTCAAGACATTTTTAGGTCGTTTTTTTTTTTTCAGTTTTTTCCATTGGGGAACAAACCTCAGAAGCAGCTTCCTTTCCTCCTCTTGACAGTAACCAGCCTTCCGGTAAGAATATGCATGCTTTTGTCATACTCCACACACCCTTGGTGCCAGCCGCCAGCAGGTACTGCTTAGTACTCACGTTGGATGCATTTGTTAGACACCCCTGTGGTTACATATAGAGTAGGTTTATAATGGAAAATCACAGTTAGCTTTTTGGTTTTTGAACAGCCAGGGAAGTTAGTATTGTGGTTTAAGAGAACAGTCACAATGACTCTGAAGCATATGTATGTTCTTCTAAAGTGGCACTTAAAAATTATTGCTCTTAGTATTTTTCCACTGGAGTCAGGCAGATCTCCAACACTTTGAATCCCAGCTGTTAAACAAACAAACAAACAAACAAACAAAAAAAGTGAAATAAATGGATTTTATCAATGAATGTACGTTTGTAATGTCTTTGAAACAGTGTCTTGTGAATATTTGAATAGAGGCTGTAAATTTTTATATTGCATTTGCCATAAAATTTGTTACTGTGTGAAAAATGCCGTCAGTTTCACCTGGCTTTGACATTTCAAAGCCATCCTACCCCTGTGTCAACTGCTCAGACACATGATGTTTCACATACCACAGCACATATGGCTCTCTTACAACAACTAGTCTGTTACTGATGGGAAAACTGGTTATTATGGCTTTTCCTCTCCAGAGAATAGCTCTGTGGACACTGGCTTTTTGCTGTGCTTTGGAGCTTCTGGTATGCATGCATGCCCCCCCCCTTCCTCCCTCTCCCTCCCTCTCTCTCTCTCTCTCTCTCTCTCTCTCTCTCTCTCTCTCTCTCTCTCCCTCTCTCTCTTGCACTCTATTGCTCTTACTCTCACTATCTCCATATATATATATATATCAGTTTATATGTATATAACTATATAACTGTACTCTCCCCCTTTGTGTGTGTGTGTGTGTGTGTGTGTGTGTGTGTGTGTGTGTGTATTTGTTGGGGTGGGGTCTCATTATGGCAAGAGTTGAATGTTTTCACACTGGCACTGCCACTGGTTTTCCTTATGTGTTCTCTGAATTTGGGAAATGGACAGCAAGACCACTCACTGAATCTGTGGGAGCGTCCTATCTGAAATAAGTGAGCAGACATTAGCACTGATGTGTTTTATATCACTGAATTACCAGATATTAGGCTATAGTGAAAGCCGTGTTTCATTAAAAATGACGTAGTCTGCCATCCATTAAGCTGTAAGCAATTACTGTTATGTTTATGGCAAAAGCATTTTGCAAAGGAGAGGTGAAACACAAGATGGAAAACCAGGCACGTGAATTCAAATAGGCTCTCAGTCACAGTACTGAGTACTTGGAATGTAATGATGGCACACATTCATTACATTGTGAACCCAGTCCTCAATGGGACAGACAGGAGAGTTTGTTCCTTAAGGACAGATGAGCAGACGTGGAGATGATTTTGCTTATTGTGACTGAGGGGCTTGAAGGAGTGTTACCATGTGGGCAGGGGCCTGGATCATCTTCCTTATCACAGTGAGCATTGATTCTCCTCATGGTTCTAGGAGCTGGAAGGCTAGATCAATAGGCGGTCTCCTGAGGCCTCTCTCCTTTGCCCATAGACAGCTGCCTTCTCAGAGTGTCCTTAGATGTTCTCTCCTCTGTGCACATGTCTGTGTCTCATCTCCTCTATGAGGAAACCAGTCATGCTGGATCACACCCTTCTGTGACCTTATTTTACTTTATCTCTTTAATGAGTCTCTAAATACAGTCTTGCTGTTAGGACTTACTTCATGTAAGTCTGGGGCCTCTAAGACCCCACAGGAGTTATCGAGGCCAGAGTTCTCAACCTTCCTAATGCTGCGACCCTTTAATACAGTTCACACTGTGGTGACCCCCCAACAATAAAATCTTTTCATTGCTACTGTATAACTGTAAGTTTTGTTATCATTATGAGTTGTAATGTATGTATCTGTGGGATTGATGGTCTTAGGTGAGCCCAGTGAAAGGCTTTCTTGATCCCCAAAGGGTTTGTGACTCACAGGTTGAGAACAGCTGGTCTAGGCTAAAATCACAGTGGTCCCAAGATGAAGTATCAAAAGGAGCTCTGTGCTGACCTGCAAAGGAAAACTAAATGATCATTGCCTTTCTGACCTCTGTGTGCGCATCAAAGGAGAAGTGTTGCTCCTTGGCAAAGACGGGGAGCCCGGTGCACACGTTAGATAGAACTGAACGCAAGAAGCTCCTAATCGAAAACATTTAGATCTCCTTTATAGTTGTATAGATTTTAGAGTGAATCTATTCTATTAGGTTTCTATACAACACTTCAAATGGCCCTGAAGTTTAGCTGTCACTCTCTGTATTCCTTCCCTTGTCTCCTTCTTCCTTATCCCTCCACATTTTACCTTCCTGTTCCAGACCCTATCCCTCATCCATCCATAAATATATATTCCATTTCCATTTTTATGTAAACCTGTCTCTCTTCCCGAGTCCCTAACCCTATACCTATGGTTATGCAGATTGTTGAGTTAATAGCTAACATACACATATAAGTGAATATGTATCCTATTTGTCTTTCTGGCTGTGGCTTATCTAACCCAGGATGTCTTTTTCAAGCTTCATTCATTTTCCTGCAAATTTTATCATTTCTTTTCTTCCGTCTTTAGTTGCTAAGCAGTAGTTGACTGTGTAAATGTACCTAGGAAGTTTTATATCTATCTAATAATAACAGGAAAAGCATATTAATGACAAGAATCGGTCCTTAAATTTGATCTTTGACCTTTCCTAGAAGATCAAATCCATCATGACTTAACAGTCCATGTTGACCAATTCAGGCAGATCACCTACTAGTTTCTAGCTTCTCCTAAATGGCTTCTGACAGATTAACTTGGCCTGAAGGTGTGCCAGTCTTTCAAAGCACTGACTCTTGATTTTACCGATTCTTTATATTTTGGTTTTTATTTCACTGATTTCAGCCATGATTAATGGGATGTCTATATTATATCCCTTCCACAAGGCTGAAAGATGAGGCAGAGAGACTGTAGGAACTGAAAGTTAGGGAGGATCAGAGGGAAACAGTGCCTTCTGGACATGACAGGAGTGATAGCACCTGTGGTCACCAGCACAGCATCAAGCCAGTCAATAGTCAAGCATGGAGTGGGAAGGGTCCATGAGCCCCTACTCCTAACTGATGCACTATGGACATTAATGACTCCTGGTGGAGGGAAGGGCAGTTTTTTTTAATGATCAGTGCCTAGGGTTATTAATAATTTAATATAGAAGAGATACAAACTTGGGGGAGGAGTCAAAGAAGTAGAGACTGGTGTGGGTAGAATAAATAGGAATATCACCAAAATATATTGTATGAAATTCTCAATTAGTAAAATTTGAAATATATTCATAAATTATTGATGCGAAGGTTTTATTATATAGGGATCTTTTACTAAGTGACTTTAATGAATTCTGTTAACTACAATCAATATCTCTGCCAATTCTGTGGTTTTGCACATAGAGCATTATCTAATTGGTCATTACTAGTTTTTTTCTTTAAAGCTGGCAAACTACAAAAATTTATTCCAACTACAAATCCAGCAAAGGACTGGTTCAGGACTTCTTTTAATGTGCTTCTTGGCTCTGTAGAACTAAGAACTACCTGGACCACTTCACTGATAGTTACCATACATGAGCCCTAAATTTGACTTTGAGTTTTCATGGACGCAGGGAAAAGACAAAAACAGTAGATGTCAAATTCTTAACAATTAACACAAGAAAATAGCAGTTCTTTAAATAGGGCACACTTTTTCCTCTTAGGTGTTAAAAGAATGATAATTTCAAACAATTGAGGGGAAAGTCAATTCATTCAGTTCATTACCTGTTCTTCATCTTCCTTTGATTTAAACCCTAATGTCTTTCAGATATTCTTAAGAATAAAATACTCAAGGGTACAAATATGGAGACAAAGTGTGGGACAGAAACTGAAGGAGGGGCCATCTGGAGACCATTTCACCTGGGTATCCATCCCATGTGCAGTCACCAAAGGTAGACACTGATGTGGATATCGGGAAGTGCATGCTGACAGGAGCCTGATATAGCTGTGTCCTTAGAGATCTGCAAGAGTCTGACATATTCAGAGGTGGATGCTCACAGCTAACCATTGAACTGATCAAGGGCTTCCCAATGGAGGAGTTAGAGTGAAGACTGAAGGAGCTGAAAGGGTTTGTGACTCCATGAGGAGAGCAACAATACCAACCAACCAAAGCTCCCAGAGTCTAAACCACCAGCCTGGGAGCACATAAGGTGGGACCCATGGCTCCAGAAGTATATTTAGGGGAGGATGGCCTTGTTGGGCATAGGTGGGAGAGGAGATCCTTGGTCCCATGAAGGCTGGATGCTGAGTGTGGGGGGTAGCTGGGGGCACATCCTCATAGAAGCAGGAGGAGGGGGGATGGGATAGGGGGTTCCTGGGTGGGGGGAGGGGAAGAAATGGGGTAAGGAGATAAAATCTGAAATGTAAATAAAATATCCAGTAAAATATCCAAAATATCAAAAAAAAAAAAAGCAGTCTGGGAAGCCAACTGTGGTGACTTATGCCTGCAATTCAAGTGCTCAGGAGGCTGAAGAAGGAGGACAGTGTGTTGCCTGGACCACATAGTAGGATGCTGTTCTAAGAACTAACCTAAAAGACATAGATCATCAAAGGCTAGAAACAGGACATTAGCACCAACACTTTTATAAGCTATGTATTCCTCTTTCACATGTACCTTTTAAAAACTACTTTGTGTGTGTGTGTGTGTGTGTAGACACTCATATGCCATAGCCCGCATGTAGACATCAGAGGACCACTTAAGGGAATTTGTTCTTCACTATTTGTGTTCCAGGATCAAATTGAGGTTTAATAAGTGCTTTTATCCTGTGAGCCATCTCACTGGCCCCTATTTGCATCTCATGGGAGCAATCCTTTCTCTAGTATTTTCAGGTATCATCAGGTCTCAGACCATTCAGAATTCAGACACTGGTGGATGCCTACGAATGTTGCTACTCTTCTGACAGATTCCAGGCATCTGCCCCACTTCCAAGCTGTTTTCTGATACTGCTACAACAGGTCTAGAGAAAGCCTATCTTGCTTAGGGTGCCATCCCTGTTGTATCTGGATGGCCCTCCTGGTCTTACCATATTCTAAGTGGAAATGATGAGAGTAGTTCCTTTTTAGTTTGATAGTTGAGCTTTGACCTGGACCCTTTGTGTCCCTCATCAACATTTGTATCTTGTATCTCCTTCCTTCAACTATTAGGCCTGAGCATTAGGTGGTGTACAAAACCCAGAGCCCCTGTTGTAGACCCGAAGGAGAGAGAAGCATTTATCAGGTAGTTACACAAATTAGCACAGCTACAAGAAGTACAACAAAGGGGAAAGGATGTGGCATTATGAAAGAATGTGCCT